CGGCTGGGGGACCTCGGCCGACGCCGGACGCTCTCGGGGCCTGGGAGCCGCGGACGGGAAGACCTCGCTAGGGCTGCGGGGGAGCAGAACCCTGCCGCTGCCTCGTAAAGAGAAAGAAAGTGAACTGTAGTCATTGTCTCGGCGGCAACTTTGAGCTTTACTGGTGCGGTGACCCGGTCACTTCTTGCAGAGTAAATATTGGAAGTTAAAACAGTTTCGTAATTTGAGATTTCTCTTTTCCTACCACCCCATCCGCCTTGAAAGCTTAATTATCATCCGTGGCAAGGAATGGGGCTTCACAGCATGGAAATACGACCTCCTTGGGGCCCTTGAATTACTTATTTTCTGTTAAGTAGCTGTTTGTGTGGGGCCAAAGTAGGGGTGTGAGCGCTCCGGGCCCACAATTCTGTCCTGAGATGTCTTCCAGAACCAATGTTTTGTGTAAAACGAGGAAAAGAAGTCAGTTGTTTGAACAGATTAGGACCCAAAGGATAGTTAAGCGCATGTTTGTAGAATATTTCATAATCCCACTGAAATTGGATATACGTCCTAAAAGATAAAATTTTTCTATTCTTGGATCTCCGATCGCTTTGCCCTCCGATCTAAGAGTCTCAAGGAGAAGTTAAATACTGTGACACATTTAGGTTTTCTTCCGCCCGCTTGGGTTTCTGTGGCTTTTTGTGACTTTGCGGTGGACATCAGATTTTTCGGTTTAGCGTGTTACCGGAGGTCATCTAAGTTGAAATTGAGACATTCTGATATTGAACAAATAGTTCGACGTGTTACAGTTTAGAAGTTGAAATGTTTTGGCTGTTTTAATTGAGGAGCAGTCTTGATTTTTGTTTTCTGAAATCTCGTTTGCATTTTTTTAGCTCAAAAATTTCAAGTGATAAGTGAATTGGCATTTAGCATTCTATGCAGTGGTAGGCTTTGGAATGTTTAAAATGGAAACTGTTGAATATTTTGGTTAAATACCCAAAATGTTATTCCCCCCCAAAAAAAAATCCCTTTTTTCCCCTTGCAACCTCGAATCTATTTTCTCATTATAGCATTTTGGTGGTACTGATCCGGCTGTTGGAGGGTAGGGTCTTGATTGTTATCTCGTATTTTTGTGTGTCCCTAGTACTGCTTAACATGGCTGGGGGTGTGTGTGTGAAAGTATTGTTAAATGTGGTTTTTGAATGAAAAAAGGGAAGAGACATTTTGGCTGCTCGATAGCAGAAAAAGAGGTGCTTTGAAGTTTTCTCCCATTTCCTGCTGGGTACCAGAATCAGACGTGTTTGTCTGTGAAGGGAGTGGGCATGGGCCGGGAGTCCAACCTAGGTGGGAAATTGTGAGCCGGAATCACTCATTGCTTCCCCAAGGGACGGTTTTGCCATTGCTTCCAGCCTGAATGGTGACAAGTAACTAAAATATAGGGAGGGGAGAGTCTATAAATACTGGCTTTGTAACAAAAAGATTGTTGTAAAAAGTGCAACTACATTCACGGCACTTTCAGACACCATAGAAACTGAAGAATTCCCTTTCAGTGGAGCTTCCCCCCATAGAATAGAGCTGACTTTCGTTTAGGGTTGTGCTTCTTTGGCCAAACCATGGACCTGTAAGCTGGTTTGAGCCCTAGCACCACTTTAAAAAGGGGTATGTGTATGTATTGGAATGAGGGAAGCACCCAGACGTTTTATGCACAAAGTACAGTATTTGAATTCAATTTATTAGAACGTGATAGAATGTTCAGTTTGTTTAAATGTTACCCCTGTTGCTACTGAGTTACTTGCAGTGGGTCTTTTATAAATACATCGGTGTAATACTGGTCCTGTTGCTCTTGGCTTCCACCCACTTAGGGATGAGAGTAAGGAATTGCATAACCTGGAGGTATAAATTGCTTTCCAGGAGCTTGATCTTTTTTTTTTTTTTTTTTTTGTACCAGGGATCCAACTCAGGTTTTTGTGCTTGCAAGGCAGGTGGCAGAACCCCTGAGCTGAATCCCCAGCCCCAGGAGCTTGATCTTAAAACATCTTCAACCAGATTCAGTCTCTGCTTCTGGAGAGCCGTGTTAAGAGACACAGGGAAGGCCTGGGGAAAGAGGACCCTTTATTGTTTAATGAGGAGCCTGAAGCCAGATCAGGGTAATTACACATTGTAGATCTCTAAAGGAAGGAAGAATAACCAGGGCTTTCCCAGGGATAAAGGAAAGGAAGTGCATCATGATGGCGTGCGGAGGTGCCAGAGCACACAATAGGCAAAATAGCACACCTAACCTAAGAGGGAGCAGAGACAACTCGAGGCCCATTGTGCTCATTGGGGTCAGTCATTTGTTCTTCAGAAATATTGAGCCCTTTTTCGTACACCAAGTGCAGTGCTTGACCTTTGGCATTTTACAATCATCTCCCAAGAGGACAGGGTACTATGGTGGTTCCAAGAGGTAAAAAAGAAAAACAACCACTTGTAGGGACTAGGTAAGGTTTACAGTAATTACTGCAAACTATAGACAAAGCTATTTTCATTCTTACCCAAATGCATGTAATGATTGTGGTTTGTAATTACTAAAGCCTATCCCCTGCCATTTCCTCCTATATTTTATTATGCAAAATAACACATTTACCTACTTTTTTTTGTACTAGGGATCAAACTGGGGACCTTGCACTTGCAAGGCGGGCAGCGGAACCACTGAGCTAAATCCCTGGCCTCCACATTTACCTACTTTTAATAGCCTTTAGAGGATGCTTGTTACTGTTAAAAGAAACCTGTCTTATTACAAAAATACATTTATCAAAATAAGATTCAACAGGGCTGGGGATTTAGCTCAGTGGTGCCGCCACCTGCCTCGCAAGCTCAAGGTCCCGGTTCAGTCCTTGGTAGAAAAAAAAAAGATTCATCGTGTGTCTGCTTTAACATAGAGACAGTCATTGCATGTTAATAGTAGTATGCACATTACAATATTCAGAACAAAGAAATGGTCAAAGGAACCAACTTGATGACTTGGCTTTTATTTGCATAACTCTTACTTGCAGTATTGTAATGTGTAACAGCATAAAACCACAGTACTCTGCTGTGCAGTACAATCAGCAAAAATTACAGTACTGTATAAATAATATATACTGTACAAAAAGACATTGAGAGGGCCGCGGATTTAGCTCAGTGGTTCCGCCACCTGCCTCCCAAGTGCAAGGTCCTGAGTTCAATTTCCAGTACCAAAAAAAAAAAAAAACAACCCCAAAAAACAAAAAGACGTTGAAGCTCTAGAAAAAAAAAAAAGGTCAAAAGTCCTGGAGGTGGATTATAAGTTTGACCAGTTGTGAAACAGGTATGTAAATGAGGTATAACTGTATTAGACATCGTATTATCAGAGTAGTTCAATTCAATCAGAATGATTTCTTGGCACATGCTCTCCAATAACCTTTAAAATAAAACACAGCCGCCACCAGCAAGGCATCACATCGGCTAAATTCAGGCAGTGTGTTAATGCCTCATGTCAGAAAAGGCTAGGATGAAAGTGATAAAGACAATCCAGGGTATCACAGCGGTTATCATCAGTACTCCTTACTGCAAAACAGATGCAACATAGCAAATCAGGAAAGCATCTATTCCTATATTTCCTCACATGCACTTTCCGGTTATTTTAGCAACTTCCATGAATTCTTTGGGGGTTAGGTACAAGGGATCTAACTAAGGACCTTGAGCTTGTGAGGCAAGCAGGCAGTGGCACCACTGAGCTAAATCCCCTGCCCTCCATGAATTCTTCAAGATTATGCTAATCCCATGGTTAATCATTCATGAAGGAGCTTCTGCAGGTCATTGCAAGGGACCAGTAAAATAGTAATGAAATACTACCACAGAGCCACGAATCTGCTGAACTCTGTGAAAATCACTGGAAATGCCACATGTCCTTGACAGTGAAACTGGCATCAATGGAGCTACTGCTCTGTCCACCTCTGCAGTAGGCACCTTGGAGGACAGAAGGGCAAGGAGCTGTGACTGGCTGGAGTGTAAGACAAAAATTAAACACGTAGAACAATCACAGAGCCAAGAGTAACCATGATAATTAATTGCTCAGTAGTTTCCTGTGGTTCGGAAGTGTATAGATAAGCCTTGAGAAAATATGGGCACCCTTATGATAGGAGACATTTGTGTATATCGTTTCAAAGGTAACATCACTTCTAACGAGTGTGTTTATATCTGAGAATTTATTTAACTCCAAATGAATCAGTTTTCTTATCACCTGCTGAACTGCCAGAAACAAAGCAGTCCTTAGAAGGGAGCCGATAGACCGCACTGATAAACTTTCCTGGCCCTGGGGCGCAGCTGCGCACCTGCGCTGCCCATATCACATGACCAGCAGGTCTCATGAGACCACTCTCCAAGTCTCTCCCTTCTACAGCATAATGGGGAAACCATGTATTTTTTGGTTATATCCGAAAATCAGGTAGCTGATTTCTCCCCAGTGTCAGATAGTATAGTAATAAAATATATTTTGAAGACATTTGACCTTTCATGAATGCTGTATTTTTTGCATAGCATGCTTAATGAATGTGCCTAACATACAGTAGGCTGGCTACAGCACTCTTCAGTTAACCCAGGTTCCATTCCTGTCACTAGGTTGTTAAATGGTTGGTCCCTAACTGAGGCATTGTATATAGGGTGCCAATATTCAGAACAAAGGAGTGGTCAACTCAAAGATTTTGCTTTTATTTGCATAACTCTTATGTGCAGTACTGTAATGCATAACAACCTAAAACTGCAGCACTGCATTGTGCAGTACAATCAGCAAAAGTTACAGTACAAACAAGGTGTACCATAGGAGAAAGGACATTGAGGCTCTATCAGCAAGATGTACAAAACTGTCCAAAAAACGGTCCTAACTCCAAGCAGTGGTTCATAAATCCAAATAATGCACCTTGGTCGTAAGTCTGAACAGACCTTAAAAAAGGCGGGTTGTGGTACCTGGGATTTAGCTCAATGGTTCCATCACCTGCCTCGCAAGGGCATGAGTTCAATCCCGGTACCCAAAAAAAACACGCACCAAAAAAATGTGGGTTGTTAAACAAGGGATATCTGTACATCCTTCTGAGAGGCCTCAGGATTTCCTTTTCCTTTCCCTGTCCTGTCCTGTGATTGAGCTCGGGACCTTGTGCTTGCAAAGCAGGCAGTGGAACCACTGAGCTAAATCACCGGCCCCATCAAAGTTTTCTTT